TACGGTGATTGACAGATGTCTCGTCCAATCAGCGGTGAGTAATCCCAAACCAATGGCGTTTTCTGACTTGTTATAATGTTGTCTGAATTGTTATTTTGTTTTTTAGACTTGCATTTGCGTTTGTAATTTGTTATTTTGTTTTCAGAATTGTGACTTGCGTTGCACTTCTCGGCCACCGTATAAAATAAATGATATTCTGCATAAACAAAACAATTAGAGCTGCTTGAGGAGCCTTGAGATTCTCTGCACTGTGACATTATTTTAAATCATTTTGAGCCAATTTTCTAATGAAAAAAAAAATGCATTTATGCCCATTTAAGAGATTGCAATGAAAAAACAACAAAAACAAAACACTCGCACACGCACGCACTCAAATGTTTGGAATCAGAATGATTTTTTTATGTTTTTTACAGGAGTCTCATCAAGGCTGCATTTATTTGATCAAAAATACAGGAAAAAAATTAATATTGTGAAATATTATTATGATGTAAAATAAAGTTTTTCTATTTTAATATACATTAAACTGTAATGTATGTCTGTGATGCGCAGCTGTATTTTCAGCATCATTCCTCCAGTCTTCAGTGTCACATGATTATTATATATGCTTATATGCTGATTATTAGAAACATTTCTGATTATTATTTCTTAATATTATAATAATATGCTGATTTATTATCAGTTGCGCTGCTTAATATTTCTTTGGAAACTGTGATACTTTTTTTCAGGATTCTTTGATGAATAAAAAGTTAAAAAGAACAGCATTTATTTAAAATAGAAATATTTTCTAACAATATACACTACCGTTCAAAAGTTTGGGGTCAGTACATTTCTATTCTTTCTTTTTTTGAAAGAAATTAAATCTTTTATTCAGCGAGGACGTGTTAAATTGATAAGAAGCGACAGCAAAGATTTATATTGTTAGAAAATATGTATATTTTTAATAAATGCTGTTCTTTTTAACTTTTTATTCCTCAAAGAATCCTGAAAAAAGTATCAGTTTCCAAAAACAATATTAAGCAGCACAACATTGATAATTCTAATAATAAATCAGCATATTATACTGATTTCTGAAGATCATGTGATCTTTATACTGGATTAATGATGATGGAAATTCAGCGCTGCATCGCAGAAATAAATTACATTTTAAAGGATATTAAAATAGAAACCATTATTTTAGATTGTAATAACATTTTGCAATATTACAGTTTTTTTCTGTATTTTTGATCAAATAAATGCAGCCTTGATGAGCAGAAGAGGCCTCTTTAAAACATTACAAGTCTAAATGATCCCAAACTTTTGACCGGTAGTGTGTGTATATATACGTAATATAAAAAAACAGCATAACAGAACTAGAAGTCGTCATGAAAATAATCTTTCTACTTTTGATTTTGTTCTGCCCTTTGACCCGGAGGTGTTTGTGTGAGCCTGACCCACACTGCTCACATGCTCTCAGTATTCGCAGCTGCGCAGTGAGGTCTGCAGCGAGCGCATGTCCTTCAGCAGACGCAGAGAGTCTCGGCTGCGCTCACCTGGTCTGGCTTTGACCTCCACGCGACTGGAGACGTTAACCTGTGCTCCTTTCCCTCCACCGCAGCTCTGCCGTCTCCTCAACTTCTCCATCTGACAGAAACACAGTTCAGGGAGCGCTCGACACTCACTAGCGCTCAAGTGTTGCATTTATTTTGATTGAAAACCATATTTATTAATAGCAACAGTAATAAATAATAGTATTTATTAATATTTTCAATGTTTGAATTTTTATATTTACGTTTTAGTAAGGTTTATTAGTCAGTTTTTCAGACTTTCAAATTGAAATCTTAATTATTCCCAACTTTAGTGCTTTTAACATCAGCCGCCTTTCCAGTATCCATGCATCTTAAGTTGCATTATGGGCCGCTGTTACCTGAGCTTGATGCCGCCGGACTTTAGCGATCTGTTCTCCTTTAATCTCCATCCTCTTCACCAGCGTCTCCATCTCACGCTCGAAATCCTGCCGCAAGCGATCCGAACCGCACGACTGGATCTGTCTGGCCAATTCCTGCTGCTCGCTGACACACAAACACACAGTCACTAGCATTGGGAGACACGGAGCTTTCTGAATCGCTGAATCAATTGAATGAATCGCTTCACAAAATGATTCAATCTTTCCAAGAGTTAAAAAACACAAGCTGGCAACACCGACATTTACAAACCAAATCCTCATGTCGTCATGCATGTGCTCTCTATTAAATTCAGTCTGCAAATGATCATTAAAATATGAAGAGTGTGAACAATTTGAGTTCTTTTATTCATTTACATAAAATAATAATAATTATTATTATTATTGATTTAATGGAATGTTAATTTTTGGTGAATTTTCCCTTTAACCTTCATTTTAGTATCATTAAAGTAGCATACTATTTATTCATATTTTAATTTTTATATTTAAGTTTTAGTAAGGTTTATTCGTTTTTGTTGTTT